CCAAATTTGGAATACAAAAGAACATTGTTGAAAGTAATTAATAAGAACTTATAATTTTACCCCTGGATCCATCTGCTCCTTAACCATAACCCATATATTTCCAATAAATAGAGCTGAGATCATCCTAGGCTCCTATAAGAGACACCTCAACAGTACTAGGATAAAGATAGCAAAGAGATTTGCAAAGAAAAAAATGGACTTACCAGGAAATTAACTGAGTGAGGTTAGAACTCACAATGCCTCTGATTTGGAAAGCTTTAAGAAAGAAACATTGTGACCAGTTAGGAAATACAGAGCCAAGTATTTTATGTTATTAAAATAAAGGTCTTTCATTTTCAATATTTTGCTGTTGGAATTAAAAGAATTTGCCTTTGGTCTGGCTAGCACTCACCTTGTCAGATGCTTTAGGCAAATGAAGACTTCCTCCAATCTTAATATTACACAATGTGAATGAAGAGGACAACTGGTGGAAGGTAACTGACTAGCGGGTGGCTTGGTGCCAGTCAAGATTGCAAAAGAATATTGGAAAGAGCTTGTGAAAGATTATGAAAAATGTCTCCAATGACAAAACAAAGCTGTGCAAGTATTAAAATATCAAATTAATAATATCTTTTTTTCCTCCCATTACTGTTGTTAATATTTTATTCTGCATTGTATGTTTGAAAATGTGTGAATTTTCTTAATAACCTGTTCATTTTTATATTGATATATATTGCCTGTATAAAATATACATATAGTAAATATATGATTTTTAGGTGTCCACATCAGAGCTCAACATTGAAATTGTTCTGGCATCCAAGGAATACCAGAATATGTTTGGGACAACTGGTTAAATTTTGGGAGATGATACAAATTTTTTAATAAAAATTCTATTAGATTTATTCTAAAAGCTTTTTCCTCAGAGATATTTTCAGTCCATTGTTAAACAAAAATTTTACCATGAAAGGATACTGAGCAAAAAGTGATTTGTATAATAGCAGAGTAATCAATAAATCAGAGATATCATTGAACATCTAAAAGCTATAAAGGAACAGATGACTTAAACAGTTCACTGACCTCTAATTTTTCGTGAAGTTTTTATCTCCACTTTATTGAATATCAATACATTGTTTCAAAATTTTTGTTCCATTGTATTTATTAAAACTTTCTAAGATGAGGACAATAGTCTGAACAATCTAAAATTTCTTAAAATAAAAAAAAAAAAGGAAAATTTTTACTTCTCAGGCTTTTAAAAAAATGGTGTGCACACAAAAATTAAAAAATCTAAATGCAATAGTAATCGTTATCTTTCATCTTAATTCTTCTTTTATTGCTCTCCCTTAATAGTATTTTGCTTTTCTCATTCTCAAACACTCAGTAAACCCTTGCATCTTAGTGGCTTTATTGCCTTTCTTGGGGTAAGATGATTAAAAAAACAAACACACACACACGCACGCACAAATAGAAATTCAAACCCTTTTTCTTTTGAACTGGTAACTGAAACCTGAATGACAAATGAAGATTGAAGGATTAAATTTAGATATTTAACATTAAGATCTAACTGTAAAAACTAATTCTTTTTTAATAAACAAAGCAAGAAAATTTTATTTCTTCTGTCAATTTTTGGTTAAGAAATCCTGAATGATCCATTAATAAACAATAATTATCTCTGATATTTTGTGTTTATAATAAACTACAATGTAAATACAAAAGAATATGAAAAATGATGAAAACTTTAGCCATGACACAAGGCAGGTAATTATAAATGAAAGTTTTTGATAAAGACTTTAAAAATGTTTAATTGCAAATAGTTACAATGTCCTATGAAAATGAATGCATAGGCCACAATTCTTAAAATATGATAAATGCTAAACAGAGCATGAAAATTAATTAACAAATAACATTTCCATGTAAAATTATACGTGATTTACCTAAAATGTTTAAATAAAATAATCTGATTTTTATAAAAAATTTAACTAATTTGCTTTTGTATTTATTAATTTTCAAAATGTTTAATATTTTAGCTTCCGTTTTAATTAATCTCTTAAACATTCCAACAGTGTTTTCATTATACTACTAACAACTATAAATAATAACAAAGTTTTAAAAGTACTTTGATTTCGGGATGGTTTAAAACTTTTTCAGGGCAAATTTTTTTTTTTTTTTTTTTTCTGGACGATTCCAGGATGACAATGAAAAAAGCCAGCCTGGAGCAAATATCCAAATATTCCTTTTCTCCCCACAGTGAGCAGCTATAATAAATTTAACTGCAATGTAACTTAGAGATATATTGATATATGAACCATCATGGCAAATATCTTTTGTCCATAAATTGAGCTTTTTCTTCTTTTTTTTTTTATGTCTCTCACCCAGCCATCATCTTTTAGTATATTCTGTGCTACAATTGTCATATGATGATACTTTGTATATTTCACAAAGAGCTTACTCACTTCTCTCTCAATGATCTGATATGAAACTATATTATAACAATGCATTATTATTACTAAAGCTAACCTCTGAAAATATCATGATCACAAATTCTGACTGGTGATAATAATTGCTGGAGTTGCAATTAACTCAGTGTATTGCTTTATACTCTGGCACATGTGAATATTAAGTGCTATTAATGTATACTTGTCCATTGATTTGTTGGTGGGGAAAAAAGGGAATTTTTATTAGATTGAGAAAAATGTGGTCACCATTTCCTTTGATTACATTAATAGGGATGGACCCAGAGCAGAAAATATTTTTAAAATGCTGTAAGAATCAGTCTATACAAGTTGTCTGAAGAGTAACAGAATATTTTTAAAATGCTGTAAGAATCAGTCTATACCAAGTTGTCTGAAGAGTAACGGAATATTTTTAAAATGCTGTAAGAATCAGTCTATACCAAGTTGTCTGAAGAGTAACGGAATATTTTTAAAATGCTGTAAGAATCAGTCTATACCAAGTTGTCTGAAGAGTAACGGAATATTTTTAAAATGCTGTAAGAATCAGTCTATACAAGTTGTCTGAAGAGTAACGGAATATTTTTAAAATGCTGTAAGAATCAGTCTATACAAGTTGTCTGAAGAGTAACGGAACTGGTGTCACAAACAACAAACTACATGGTTACCTCTTCAAAGCAATGCCTCTCGAGTCCAATGCACTTTTCCATCCTTCTCTGCCATGCTTCTAAGAAACTGCTGGAAGGATTCTTCTTTGATGAACCCTCAGCTCAGTCATTACAGCCCTCTTAATGGCCACCATACCTTCAAAATGGGTTGACCCCCTTAAGCTTAGGGAAAACAAAAAAGTCACAAGAAGCAAAATCAGGTGAATAGGGAGGTTGTTCCAGTACAGCAAAGTTTTTCTTAGCCAGAGACTGCCAGATGTTGAGAGCATTGTGAGCAGGTGCATGGTTGTGATGAAGCAGCCACAATTTGTCTTGCCACAACTCTCATCTCATCTCATCTCGTGTATCTCATGAGCAAAGCAAATGCTGCAGGATCTCTTTGAAGATTTCCTGATTCACTGTCTGGCCCTGTGGCAAGAATTCACTGTGGATGATGCCTCTCACATTGAAGAATGGATGTCCCACTACTTTTCAGACAAACAGACGTATGATGCAATCAAAAAACCTCATCTATATAAAAATGCAAATTTCAATGTGTTACTGTGTCTCATTTTTTCGACTACTCCTAGAGGCCGTAGCCCAACATATCATGACATTTTGGAATCAGGCCAACTCCATTAACAAATTAAAAACATTCACGCCATATCCAGATCCACATTCCTGAAATTTTGGATTCCCAAATTTTCATTACTGTGATTGTTTTCAAATTTTATGTGCTTTTTTGCAACAAATTTTTTGCAATATAACAATTTTTATAACTTGGAAGTAAATTTGGAAATAATCTAAATTAATTGCAAAATCCTGTGAAAGTCACCCATGAAATAAAAATAATTGTTTTTACAGAAAGTAAGGACATACGTACATCAAACTGTCTTTAAATTAAGTAGCGGCAGAAGAATTACCATTGAATTTTTTTAAAGGTAAGCTTAAATATTAATGCAATACTTAAATGCAATGATCAATTTTGAGTTCTTCTGTAGTTTATTGTTGCCTATCGCATCTACTCCTCCCTACCTATTGTGATAAAGGCCCAATTAAGAGTCCTCCACAGGAGTTAGCTCAAATGCTACCCAATAGGGAAGCTTTTAAGCTAGTTATTAATAAAATACATACCAAAGAAACAATATCGAACTTTGAGGAAAACTGCAGGATAGTTATTTATGCAGCAAATGTTTTAGTGAACTGTTCTGAACTATGAATTAAACACCACTTATTTCTGTGGACATATTTGCATCCTATTGGTACTACAACAAAAACTTCTGGTTACTTAAACTAACTGCTGCCTGCCATAATGTATCTTTCACAAAGACTTGATTCTGCAAATCAATCACTACTGGTGTCAGTTAACTGCTGACTATCTATAAACCCTGGCTGTCAACTGAATTGACAGGAGAGCAGTCTTCAGTTAACTATCCAATGGAGACAAGAATATAAAAAAAACCTTTCTTTACCTCTCCCACCTCCAAAAATTGCCTGGAGTAGTTTTCTATCCATTACTACATTTTTTTTTTTTTTTTTTTTTTTTTACATATGATTTTCTTTTCTTTAACTACTCATGTGGGTAACATTTGTAGCACTAGTATTGCCCTTTTGAGTGCTGTTTCACTTTGTTTCTCTAGCTGTATTGATTGATTTTTTTTTTATAGCTTAAACTTTTGCAGGTTATTTAAAGTCAGAAAATATTTTTAGATTTGATGAATTTTTGAGAGTAATAATGATTTAGTGATACAAGTCCTACTAATTAACCCATAGCTGGGGAGAAAGAAGAGGAGAATTGGATTCATACCTTTCCCAAGGGTATTTGTGCATAAGGGAATATAATGAACCTGACTAGAACTGGAATTTGGCTCTCCGATTTCTAATTCCGAACTTTCATACATTAAACAATATGCACATCCACATTTACTACAGCACCTGGTATTCCTAAGTGGTCACACATATAAGTACTGACCAGGCTCCATGTTGCTTAACTTCAGTGATTGTACAAGAAACAATGTTTCCACGTGATATGACCATAAACATTCTCTCATTATAAACCTGCTGCTTATGGTGTCTTGATGGCAGGTCAAGTGTTTATACCATGGTTCAGTTATATATATGGGCTTTTGGCCACATCACATTGAAACATTGGGTTTATACAATCACCAAAGTTATACAACATCGAGCCTGGTCAGTACCTAAATGATCAGTAAGCTTAGATATGTGAGTGGTATAATGGATAGTGGCTCTGAATTGTTAATTGGAGAGCAGAGTTTCAATTCCTGCTTGGTTCGTTATATTCATTTATGTGCAAATACTCTTGGGAATGGGTTAATTAGTAAGATTTGAATCACTAAACCATGATTATCTAAAAAAAAAAAAAAAAAAAAAAAAAAATCTGGCTTTAAATAACCTGAAAAGGGTTAACAAGCTGTAGAAAATGAATGAATCAGTCAATTATGCATATGATGGGACTTTTATAGAAAGCACAGAAAGAATAATAACAAATGCAGCGGTAAGAGAAGCAGTCTCGTACTGGGAGATAATCAGGATTTAAATTAACTTTGCAGAAATGTGTGGGCAATTTTGTATGCATGAACAACAGACATCCCCCACCAGCCCAAATCAGGTCACTCTGGAACTGTGTTTGTGCACAGCATTTCCACTTTCCTATTAATTATACTAAATTGGATACAAGGTGAATAGAAATGAGAGGAAAATGTCCACTGGTAGGCACAACAAAAACTACATGGTGAGTAGGTGGAGGCGAGTTTTTCTTTCAAAGAACAGAGTCCAAACCAAAATAGTTGAATTATGTTTATAAATTTTCTATTCTCTGAGAGTTCAACTTTATCAACAGTCACAAAAAATGAAAACAAAAAGAAAAGAGGGTGGGTGTCAACACACATCAAGACAAAGTAATTGGAAATATTTCAGATATATACTTGTTATTTTTTTTTATATACACATGGAACTCAAATGTACAACAAAAATTGATAATGTAGATAATTCTATACAATTAACTCTTAAAGTGAAACAAATTATTTGAAAAAGACACATTCAAAGCACTGAAATACGTTGACATTCATACCAGTAAAGATAAAATGAATATCATTTTTTTTTAATCATTTCACTCCAAACAAGGTAATAAAGCCACTAAGACACAATGGATTATTAAGTGCGATAGAATATGAGAGAAAAAGAAAATAGCAATTAAAAAGATAATTCTTGACATTGCATTTAAATTTCTGGAGATCAAATTTGACTGGAAAACAAAAAGCTGGGGGAAAGTTCCCCAAACAAGAAGTGCAAGAGAAGAAACTGTTAACATAGAACTTACAGTTACATCTAAGCCATTTGAGCTCTAAATGATGAGACCTTGGTGCCAATCTAGTACTGCACTTAAATTCATATAGTCTAGGTAGTACCATAGCAGAAAGCTCATCAGAACAATTACCATGAATATAGATAGATAAATAGATAATATTAGTGGTTGGTCTCTCTCTCTCTCTCTCTATATATATATATATATATATATATATATATATATATATATAATTCCCAAGAGGATAGAATCCAGGTAAAACTAAATGTCCAGGACAGAGTAAGAATATAATATAAAAAGCTCAAACACTAATATTCCATGGTTATAATTTATACATATATAATATGGCAGTGTGAAACTTAAGCTGAGATGCCAGGTCAGGACCAATAACATTGCAGATTCTTTGCACAGAATACAAAAGAAATATCTCACAGAAATACCTCCCACATAATGGTAAGACATTAGCTAGATGAAGACAATATTGCCATTAATGTCTTACCATTATGTAGGAGATATTTCTGCCACACAGTGCATTTTATCAAGAACCTCTAAATACATAGCAAAAACAAATGAAACCTTTGTCCCAACAAATGACAGAGCCAGAACAACAGCTTAGATTTTAAACTTCTGCACTGGAAGAGGGATACCAAAACTACAAACGAGAACTATCTTGGTATTCTCCATGAAAGTCTCACAAACTGCAGCCACATTTATGTCCTCACCAGCAGTACATTATTTTTGACAGACTCCAAATGTATCAGCAGAAATAAATATTTGTCCTAAGTTTTTCTTCTTCTCATTTCTTGCCTTTGATTCAAAACATTAAAATAATCATAGAATGACAATACGAAAATCTTTGTAAGCTGAAATTAAGATTAAACAAATATAAAAGACAATATGAGTTTGTCTATATTTCTGAAATGAGGTATTGTAACTACTTACATTGTTTGGACTATTGGCCTTAACTTTATTGTCATATTCACATTTCGGCCATTGTACATATGGCACAGTAGATAAACCATTCAATTACTAAAGGGAAATAACTGAAAATGAGATATCCCCCCCCAAAAAAAGCATAGCATGTGGAACTAGAACAATCTACCCTGGTGGACGAAATACAGAGTTTGGTTCAAAATTCCAACATATCACCTGAAGAAGGCCGGAGCGTACAACAACAGAATCATTGTGAATATGACAATAAAGATAAGGATAATAGTCTGAACAATGTACATATAGTAAACAATATGAATTATGTATATTTATCAGTCAGTTTGATTAGTAAGGAGACATTCCATTGTTATATATATATATATATATATGAAACTGAGTAGTGCAATTAATGGAAGATATTATGTATACTTAATATATAAATATTAAACAGCTTTGTTACTTAACATTGAGCATGGTTTTTCTTATATATATATATATATATATATATATATATATATATATATATATATATATATATATACACACACACACACATTAATTTGCGTTGTTGTTACATTGAGCTCTCTGGATTACATTCTCTTTGGAATTATCCATACAGATTACCAAACCCTTCATTTTATATTATATATATATATATATATATATATATATAAAAATATATGGATATAGATCCGACAGTATAAAGAAAAATATACAGAAAAAAAACAAAAAAAAACACAAACAAAAATCTTAATATATAATTATGCTGTATTAATGTTAAGATAAAGTCAACGTCGGACGTTTCGGTCTATTTTAGACCATCATGTTGAATTTTATATGTTCTAATGTTAATAATGTTTTATAAATAAGTCCTGATGATGGTCTAAAATAGACCGAAACGTTCGACGTTGACTTTATATTAACATTAATACAGCATAATTATATATTAAGATTTTTGTTTGTTTTTTTTTCTGTATATTTTTCTTCATTTTATTTCAATAAAGGTGCAATCAATTTACAAATTCATGAATTATTCATACAAAAACAAATACAAAGGTTAATGATTTAATTGGAGAGAAATCCATCGTCACGAACAATTCAAATAATATACAAAAACCCCGAACCTGTTATGTTTTATAAAAACAAGGATCTTTTCATTCATAACAGGTTCGGGGTTTTTGTATATTATTTGAATTGTTCGCGACGATGGATTTCTCGCCAATTAAATCATTAACCTTTGTATGAATAATTCATGAAATATATATATATATATATATATATATAGTAAGAAATGGTTATAATGCCAGCCTACCTCACAACCTGGGTTTCAATCACAAGGTCTCCTCCTCAGGCAAGTGCAAGGATGTACAAGCCAGAAAACTATTCCATTATACCAGAACACCGAAAATGAGAGTACTGGAAATGGTGTGGTAAAAGTATGAGGATGAGCCGAGGGCGGGGGGGGTTATTTCGTTTTTATATCACTCATCTGGGTTTATAGGTACCTAAAAGAGATTTTCTTAAATGTCTGCACCCAGATATATCTTTTTTCTTATTTAATAAAACACCTTTATCAGGATACATGACAATAGCCAATTTCACTTCCTGGCACAGTCAGCAACTGTTGGCATGAATTCTGCCAGGTCTTATCTTCCTTACAATGCTCCACCTCACACAAGGGCTTCTGACATACCTCTTTCTGTATTTCCAGATACAATCAGCCAGCTTGGTGTCATTTCTATGGTTTTTCAACCTAAAAACACAAAGCATGATTATAAAATCTCTTTTTGAATGGGCCCTCAGTACATCGAATGTATTTTTTCTTGAAACCATTCTTACCACTGACCTCAGCAAAGTAAATGATTCCTTCCGAGCAGCACTTCCCATCCAATAGAGAATCATTTTTATTTTTGCAGTTGCATATCTTTTCTTCCTTTCCACCTCTGTCTCCAAAATTTTAACATTATGATTTCTAATTACATTCTCCAAGTTACCAGTGCAACAGTAACTTAGTTTCACCATATTACTATTAAACACCTTAGCTAATAAAGAGTTTTTAAGAAAATGTTTATCCAATAGCTTAAAAAAATATCTTTCCAATTTGGGTTTTCAAATGCAAATCTCCCTTGTGGACAAATTCCTTGAGATCATACATTCAACACCCCTAGGGATTCATTTAATAACACTCACAGGGTGGCTCGACCTCCTATTTACATATTTGAGGACAGCGTTCACTTTCATATAAGGTGAAACAGTACCAGTGGTGAGGTCAAATTTGACATCCAAATATTGGACAATTTTCTTGTCCCCCTCAACTGTAATTTTGAAGCCTAATTCCTTAAAGGTCTTAAAAAAAGCTTCTTTCGAATGGCATTGTTGTCCCTTCTTTCATGAGATACAGTCATCAGGCCATTGTCCCTGTATATTCCATAGCTGTCTATATGGAGAATCTTGTTAATTTTACTCAATATATAAATGCCCATAAGCTTGGAAATTTCTGCTCCATCAAGAGATCCTTGGGGAAGGTCAAAGCCATTATTACGGGATTTTTTTTTTTTTTACCCATGCTTTTCTGCCATGAAATAACAGACTTTCTACAGTAGAAAATAACCTCCATATGGTCCAGTTGAATAGATACAAATTGTTTGGCAAAATTCAGTTCTTTCTCAGTAATGGATGAGTAAAAAAAAAAAAAATCACAAATATTATATTTAATGAAAAACAAATCAATGTTGTGATTAATTTTGTTGAACCAAGTAATGCACTCATTAGTGCCTTGCCA